GACATACGTAAATTCGGGTTTCTTACCCGGCTTTCTTACCGATCTCCAGCCCAAAAAGGCAGGTTCTTAAAACCAATGCATTTTCTTGAAACATGTGCATCCACTTCGCATCAAGAAAATCAAGAAAATGCACTAGAGTGTATATTTCTTGGGGTGCCTGCCTCTTTCTCTCTCTCTGGCCCAACCATACCGACACTGTCGCACAACCGCTACGATCCACCTGGGGAGCCACCCGTTCAGGTCAGCCTCAGCCCCCCCCCCCCTCACACCCCCACCCCTTTCGCTATCGCAGGGTCCACCCTTCGCCTTACCTCTTTTCTACCCTGCTCCTCTCCCCCACTCCCCTCCCTCCACTTTTCGCCTTACTGTGCCAGGAGAGCAGATTACTCGCTCGCCCTCAACAGGCAATAAAACGCCCCCTTGGCACCACACCGTGCCCCCCACACCCACACGCGCACACGGTGGAGGACACCATGGAGGTCAGGTCACTTTTACAAATGAGAGAGTGAGACATACAATCACTTCAATGGGCGTGACAAAAAAAAATACGTGACAACAACAACGTCACACAACCATATGACACGAGCTTCTTTGACGTGCTTGAAACGTATACGCTTTTCGGCATTCATTTATCACAAACACTCCTTTATTTATAGCGAACACCACATTTTGGAGACTTTTACTGTTGAATCTCAATCTCGGTCTCAATGCCACAATTTTCTCTGTAGAGCGTGGTGACGCGCGAATCCGTAAGAGGCGCAGTACAGATTGATGGGGTCGGGTCGGCTAGCTTTGGTGGGGTTTCATCGGTTTAATGGCCGTAGCAATTTTGTAACCCGTACGGTAGGTGGATCCATCGCGGAGACGTGTTACAACAGTAAAGAGGCGGAGGCAAACAGTAGAAGGCACCACCAATGGCTGCAGAGTGGCGCCAGCGCCCACCAGCACCACGAGAAACAATAGACCGGGCAAAAGTATCGCCTTTCCTCCGTCGCTCGCGCACGTCTCCGAACGCTCACTTTCTCTTCTACACTGCCCAACCATCCCTCTAGAAATACGAGAATCACAGAGTTAAGCGATGGATGCGTTCGCTACTTTAGCACCAGATCACGCGCCCGCAGCACCCCCACCCTCCCTCAGCAGCCCCTGCCCAGGCACGTTAGCATGAATTATGTCCCGAATGTAATTTATTTCGAGCTGGCGCGCAAAACGCCGGCAGTTGCCGGCGCGCCACTAGGAGGTGCGAGGCGTTACAATTCGCTCGGCCAAAATACATAAAACATACTCTCCGCGTGCAAAAACACAAACACGACCGCAGCAGGTACTTATTGGCATTGCAGCCGGGTTAACGACCCTCCGTGTAAATCAATTTCGCCGCCCGGGGCAAAAGGTGCGGTGGTAACGGTCCGCGCCGCAGCCGCGACAGAAATAAAAGGCTCTTGTCGGGTGGAATTACGTTTCGCTTTGGAGCCCCATCCGCCCCCATCCCCACCCCCTCTCTGTCGTGGCGCAGACAAAGTGTGATGGATGCCGAGTGCAATCGATACAGCGGCGGTACCGGGTATTACGCGACCTCGTTTCAGCCAACACCTCTCCGCGCGGGGCAGCGACTCAACAAAGACCGTGTAACCCTAACCCGAGGGGTACTTCACTATCAATTCAAGCCTACAACGGTTTTTCTGTTTTTCCTCGATTTTTGTTTCTAAATTTTTAAATAGATTTTTCTGACTTCTAATTTTGTTCTTACTTTGTTTCTGATTTTTTGTGAGTGAAGTACATCTTGTTCTAACCCAACCACGACCCTGTACCTTTGTTCCAGGCGTGGACTCCAAGGTGTCGGACGTGGACGGCATGCCGTACTCGACGCTGCTCTACGGCAACGGCCCCGGGTACAGCGTGCCGCGCACGGTGCCGGCCAACCTGACGCACCAGGCGGCGCCGGGCACCTCGGCCGCCGTCGAGGAGGACGAGGAGGCCCGCAACAGGGTGCACGGCGCGGCCGTGCCCCGGCAGTGGGCCACGCACGGCGGCGAGGACGTGCCCGTCTACTCGCAGGGCCCGCTGGCGGGCGCGCTGCTCGGCGGCGTCATGGACCAGACCTTCCTGCCGCACGCCATCGCCTACATTGCCTGCTTCGCCGAGTTCGCCGACCGCTGCAAGAGCGGCAACGACAACTACACGGCACCGCCCATGCCACAGGTTCGTTAAGTTGGACACTACTCGACCACCTAAAAGAAGGTGCTGGTCATGTCAAACACAAAAGTGTGAGACAACCATGTCACAAACTCTTTTTTTTGTCGGACGTTTAACATTGGTCAAACTTTTCTTTGAATGACCATGGCACACAAATTTACTATGAATGTGCTGGAATGTCCCACACACCCTCTATTAATTTGTAGATTGTAGTTGATCTTTTAAATCGGTCACCTCTACCCCGTTTCTTTCTTGCTTGCAGCGTCTTGAAAATCGAATAATAAAAACAAACACTGTTGCAGATGTGCGTGGCGCCGGAGGTGAGCAGCATCTCGTCGGGGGCGAGCGGCCACTCGCCCGAGGTGGTGGCGTCCAGCGTCATGGCGGAGCACGGCAAGACGCTGCACAGCGGCGCGCTGGCGCTGCGCTACGGCCGCGCGCTCCTCGCCGCCCTCTTCGCCGTCCTGGTCGCCAACGGCGCGCACGCCGCGCTCCTGGCCATGGCCGCCGTAGGCGTGACGTAGCACAGCCCCCGGACACCGAAGGCACCGGCTCAAGACAATGAGGGGGTAGGATCAAGGTGCACAGCACCCGAACTTAAACCGTACGAGCCATGGACATGACGTAGTGAGTTTTGAAATCGACTGATCTCGGATTTCCCGCAGTGGAAATCAAACCCTAACTATAGTTGTGGTCACGTTTAAGGATAAGAAAAGCCTTAATTTCCGACCAATAGATGCGTGTGGGCGTGCTCTCTAAAATTGTTAAATTTAAAAAAGAGCCAAGATGTTCTCTTTATGTGATGAAAATGAAAATTACGAGGGACATGTATTCATCAGTATGTTTAAGGTAGCGAAGTTCCGGCCGAAGTAGCCCATCAAAGCTTTCGAAATGTGTTTATCATTCATAATTCATTGACCCCTATCTGTAAGGCAAGGGTACTTCAGTCTGTTCTTCTTTTCTCGACAGTGTAAATAGGAGATATTATTTTTCAAATTGAGATTTGTAAATATAAAGTTAAATTAATACTACTTAAGTCCAACGTTGTTTAATGTTTAAGAAGCTCATGAGGCATTCGAATTTTTCGCGATAATTTTTCACTCGTTCCAACAAAGCTGACGCATGATCAATTTTTGTACCAGTCATTTTTTGGAACCGTTCACTGAACTTGTCTTCAACTACAGGGAACGCAGCTTTTCCAACCGCACCCACAGAGTACCTCGATTCACCCAAATTGTACTTCATCGAAAGCTATACCTTTGTGATCATGTATTTTATGTACTTAAATTATATGTACATAACTTCATCCCTTCTAATAAATATGAATCTAAAACACGATCCAAGCGGCTGGCATCCCCTTCTCCCTCCTTTCGCACTGTGCACACACACACACACAGCGCTTGGCCGGCGCCGCAGCTCCCACGAGCGCTGCGGGAACCTGCCACACACACAAACGGCCGGGACGGCCGGGTCCCAATGGACAGCGAGTGTTTGTCCAGCGAAATCAGGGCGAGGCAGGTTGGGAGCACGCGCGAGCTGGGGGCGGGTGGATGCTGCTGGGGTTAGCCCACACGGGAGAGTGTGGGTGAGTGAAGTGGGTGGTGTTGGGTGCAGAGGGCTCCGCCACGTCACGCACTGCCGGCGCGGCCCGTCTACTTCACCACGACAGGACGCAACAACACACAGCTAGCCGACTCTGACTCACCGCAAACCGTGGTGTACACCGCGGGCCAAATTTTAATAAGCGGCTCGCAATAAGCACCTCTCAGGGGGCGGGTCTCTCCAACCAAAACTCGTAATTAGCAGCGTCGCCTTCAAGGGCCTTTTCCAAAGGTACTCTGGGGGACGGGTTAACGCGACGCAAAGCTCGGCTCCCGCCTGACAGAAAAACAGAGAGCCGCGAATATAAATCTGCATTGCGGACAGCAAATCTGCAAGCCCGCAAAGCCATTTGCAGCCACAACCGCGCACGGGGACCGACGCGCCCTTCAAAAACAGCAATGGAAAGGGCGAAAAAAGTAAAACCAAACATGCAAACAACTTTTCGGTTGTGCGGTGAAAGGAGCGCCATGTCATGTCTTTTAAAAGCAGCCGGATGCACAGGGGGAGTGACGGGGGATGGGCGAGAGGAGAGAGCGCGGCGAGAGAGGAGAGGCTTATAGCATTGAGCCCCCTAGCAGGGTATTTATCACTCGCGCCAGGATTCGTCGTACGGCAAAGGGAGCAGGAAAAGAGGCCAGGAGCAGAAAGTACTTCTGCAGCCGCCAGGAAGTAGTCCTTCGTGGGGGATAACAGGCCGCCGCGAGCAAGTAGCCCCTAAAAATTTATGGCGCGCCGCAAAAAGTCACTCGGCACAAATCATGCCTCCGTCTTATTGTTATTATTCTCATTGTTTGCACATGACTGTTATTGCATCGTGGTGATTGCACAAGGGAGCCAAGTTCATACTACGAGACCTTGTCCTCGGACGGGAGGACAAACAAGTATATGTCTACAAGGCCTCGCAACGACTTACAAAATGCCTCCACGCAACGCGCTTTTCCCCCTTTCTCGCGGTCCCCTTTCCTGGCGATAGCTTAGGCAACGCCAGCGGCGGCTCCCCATCTCAACTCCCCTCTGCCGATGGTCAGGTAACTGAAGGAGAAAGATAGAGGACGGATGCCCGCGCCTGACTGAGGGCGCGTGAGCGAGAGAGGGAGAGGGAGAGGGGAGGAGCCTGCTGACACTCGGTGGCTCGCGCCAGAGATATCGCACTGCGAGTTGGCGAACACGCCGCGCAGAACGCAATGCGCTTTGAAGCCCGCGTACCCCTCCAGGAATTCCAGGCGACCATCCTAACAGCTAACATGCCAACATACAAGAACTGAGCTGTCTAGATATTGCGCCGCCAAAAGTTTTATTTACTTTCAAATAAATGCGAGTATTTTTGCTCCAGGAAAGTCCCACTGTGATATCACAACTTTCTCCCCATCAGTGTAGATTTACTTCTGTTACTAGGGGGTAGCTACAACTATGTTGGGAAAGAAAACGGGCGCTTGTAATGTCCAAACCTTAATGGAAATTTGTCGCGGTAGCCCTGCTACCCTCTCCGTTCTTTCCCTCCTTCTCTCTCTCTCTCTCTCTCTCTCTCGCTCTCTCTCTCTCTCTCCCGCTCGCGGACGACAGACGGCCACAAGGGAGGAAAAGGAGTAAGTCACGTGGCACGGCACACCAGATAACGCGCGAAATATGACGCGAAGGTCAGGGTGGACGGTCGTCCTCGCACAGTAGTTGTATAGGAACAGGAAAAGTCGCAGTGAAGCCGTCATAGGGCTGTTTCGAGATGTAAATGGATAAAGATGAGCGAGATGGGGCAGGCATACTCCACACTTTACAAGGATGAGGAGGAAAATGCTTCCAAGGATCACGTTCGTATTACAAGCAATTTTCTTTGCATCTGGCAAGGAGTTTTGAGGTATTGCAACACAAACTTCTTCCTTGCAAGATTACAAACTCAATCTTTGGTTTCTGTACGCAACGCACACACAGGTTGCAAGGAATCTGACAGCTTGAAAAAGGATTTATTTGTAAGACTCGATAAAAAAATACTAGAGCAGAAATTCTTTGCAACCTTGCAAAGAAAATTGTTTGCAAGGATTAAAGTTAGGAGGAATAATAAGGGAGGAGGAAATCCACCAGCGCATTGGCGCGCAAATGATTTTGCAAAAACGACTCCAGTCGCCTGCAAGTCGTTGGGTAGGCCGTCCCGCACGACACCTGTGCAATACTGAGCTCGCGTAGCCTACCCTGAAGGCGGTGTTGGCGGATAAGTGAACAGGGCGATAAGCAAACCTGTCTTTCTCTAGCTCAGCCTAACCACGCGGACGTAATAGCCATGCGATAGCGCGCGAAATCGGCGTGATATCGCACAACAAACAACCGTAACAGGGAGCTGTCGCATTCTGCTGTGCACAGAGGTCCCTGGGCCGCGGAGTCCACCACTCACGGTTAACGCTGGCCCACACCGGCCCCACCGCGACGCGCTGCGGCTCAAAGAACAGTCTGGGCGCGCGCGGAATGAATCTTTATCCAGAGGCACACTTTTCTCGGAAGACGGAGGACGAGAAATGTAATGCGCTTACAGCGACAATTTATAGCCCGGGTGAGATAAAACGGGGTCAGCGTCACGGGGCAAAAGTGCAACGAAAATCGCGCAAAACGAAACAAAATTCGTGGCATGATATAAAGCGACACCTATAAGCTTGCTTTTGCAAGTGCCTTGTGCTACAGCGGCAAACGGCCTTTCCGGTCGTGTGTGGTTTTTATTCCCAATGCAAAGCGAGCGAGGGACGGTAAGAGAAAAGCTGCTGCAGCCGGTGTGCAGCTGAGGTGCACGCATGTGTGGCACCGCTAACGACCTCCTTTGAGGCGGCGCGCCACTCGGCGTCAACCCCCCACCCCTCTTCTCCCTTGCTTACCCCTCTCCCACTTCTCCCCGCAGTTGGGACCCACGCCAATTTCCGCGCGCGCGTAGGGGGTGGGGGGAGGGGGAGGAGATATTCCCTGCAGATCAGAAAACTGCTCCACCGTCTGTGCGCCGCGCACTCAATCCTCCCCCAGCCCGCCCGGGCTGCAGTCGTGATAATTACGTACTGTGGCGGCATGAGCCAGAGCCAGAGTATGCTTTCAATGTAGTAAAAAGAGGCCTGTGGTATCTTCGTAACAAACCTAGATTTTACGGGGATATGTTCCGAGAGGCAGGCGTGTCGTAAAATTCCAATTTAGACTTTTCAACTTACAAGCACCATGTAGTATATTGACTTGGAATTGATGGACGAAGAAGTTTAGGGTATCATAAATTTACAACATATTTGTAAATATTAATTACAGAAAACATCGTAAGTTTACTTTTTTTACAGTGCGTGGCATATCAGGGAGCTCTGTATACACACAGCGTTATTTGCTTTCAGTGAAGTTTAGTTCATCTACACGGTAAATGCTATTTTGTTTCTTGCAAAACTGCCAAAATTTTATGCTCATGGCTTAGAGAAAGTAATTGGTTTTGTAATAAGGATTTAATAGCGGACCGACGGGGCGTCTCGGCAGCGCCCCTGAAACAATTTGACCCACAGCCCGCGTGCGCGACACGGGTGCACGTTGGGCGGCCTACCCGGCTCTCGTCAGGCGGCCGCAACCAGCTGCCACACCGCCCGCGTATCCACACATAGCGCCGGGGAACGAAGCAGGCGGGGAAATATCACCGTGTCATTTCTAGGACGAAGGAGATTTTCGACGAACAAAAAAAAAAGAAGAAATACCCGGGTGTATCTTGGTCCGGCACAGCGGGCAGGCACCGCCTTGTCTTTACTCAATATTGGAACCGATCCGCCCGCGGTCCATTTCTCCTCGTCACTCTCTTCCCGGCAGCTCGAGCAGCTTCCCCCTTTTTTTCTGGCCTTCTCCCCTGAAAGAAGAAGGCGGCCTGCCGTTCCTGTGCCGCGTGAAGAATTGATCCCCCCGTCCCATTTCACATGATTGCCTAAAATGATATGCCCTTGGCCGATCGCGCACGCAGTCCTCTTAACCATGATTTGTAGGGAGGGAAAGAGAGGGTGAACGACGGGCCGAGCCGGTCAGAAACTTTGCACGACACCCTCACACTAGGCCTCTTTATCCTAGCAAACGCCATAACAGCCGTTCATCTTGTGTCGCAACGCCTCCGTCCCCTCCGCCCTCTGGCACCGACGCACCTCCTCCCCCCGCGAGAAAGTGAAAATGGAGCGGGCGCGTGAGCACGTGGGACACGATGTGAGGTATGATAGGGCGCTGTCACCCTGAAGGTACGCCACCCGAGAGAAAAAAAAACACATAAGAAAATACAAGTCACGGTGGCGTCCCCCAATTTACCTTTCAGCAGCAGCTCGCACCCGGTATTAAAATACAAATTGGTCTCTTTCTCGTTGGCGTGCAGCCAATCTATATGATGAGGTTGCGATTTAAGCAAGATAAATAGATGGTGTGCGTAGCGCCGCGAAGGGCAAATTGAGAAGGATCGGGCAAATGGAGCGGCGAGGGGAGCAAGGCGAGGAGGAGCCTTCACCTGGACCGAGCAGCAGCGACGGCGAGTACAGTCCGCCTAGATCCCTGCAGAGAGAGAGGGAGACAGAGGCCAGGACGGCGGCCCTAAGTGCGGCTGATTATTGCTGAGCGGAGGGAGGAGGGCGCAAAAAGAAATGTCGTGCAGCCGGTGAGGGAGGCCTTCCTCCCGGGTGTGATGGAGGGCCGGGGGAGAAGCGGGCGCCCCCCCGAGGGCAGAGAGGCCGGGCACCCCGCAGCGTGCGCGCAAGGGACGCGGACAG